GCTACTGTAAGCTCTTGGAGGATTGGCTACATTCGGGGTGTGTCGCCTAATATGCAAAGGAGTTCCTGCTACAAAAAGAGCAAATGATTTAGGATATGAGAGCTGCCAACCCCCAGGTAATGACTGGAGAACTCCTGCTATTACAACTGATCTCCAGGCAACAGAGATCAGTTCCCCTGGAGAAAATGGCCAATTTGGCAGGTGGACTCTATGGCACTGTAACCCACTGAAGTCCCTCCCCTCCCCAAACCCCTCCCTCCTCAGGCTCCACCCCCATAATCTCTGGGTATTTCCCAACTCAGAGCTGGCAACCCTTGATATGAATAACTGGTGGCACTGTGCAGATGGAAGTGTTTGAGTCCCCGAACTCAAGAGCTCTGTCAAGTGTTTGAGTGAAGGCCTGTTATTAAAGGGGGCTGGGCTACCCTGTCCGCTGATGTCCCCGTGAGTGAGAGAGAGGACCTGGGAGATGAAATGGTCATCATGGCCCTCTAGGTATTCTAAAAAGGACGAGAAAGGTAATGGTGTGCTTTGTAGGGCTGCCAAATCCGTGGGTGTGGCTGGATGACCACACTTCTGGTAACATGGGGGTGTGGCCTAATATGCGAATGAGCTGTGCTGTCATGGGTGTGGCCTAATATGCTAATGAGTTCCTGCTGTTGGGTATGGCCTATTATGCTAATGAGTTCCTGCTGGGCCTTTTCTACAAAAAAAGCCCTGGTCATCATGGCCCTCTAGGTATTTTAAAAAGGATGAGAAAGGTCATGGCGTGCTTTGGTCTGACCTGCTTGTAAGCATGAGCGTGAGAGAGAGGGGTGTAGAGGTGGTGGGCGCTCTGTGTGAGTGGAGAAGCAGTGTCGCGCCCCTGCCTTAAGGGTTCACCTTGGACCAAGAGGCAACAATGGATGTCGGCCATGCCCAGCTCCTTCTCCTGTGCCTCTGCCAGCTGGAAGCAGCAAGATGATGTCCAGTGATGGATTAACATGCTTGCCTTAGTGTGGTATCTAGGTTATCAAGGTGGGGACTACAGTTTTTCTGGAATTATAACTGATCTCCAGACTACAGAGATTGGTTCCCCTGGAGGAGATGGCGGCTTTGGAGGATGGACTCTATGGTATACCATAGATTCTAGTTAAAATCCCTCCTCAGACTCTCCCCCTTCCTCTGGAGGCATTGCCCCCAAATTTCCAGGAATGTTCCCAGGCTGCAGTTGGTAATCCTAATGGTAACACAAGCAGTCTTTTTTTGTTGCTTGGGCTAAGAACTGGCCCTGTTACTGGAGAAATCCTGGATGTGGGGTGTCAGTTTGACCGAGGATGATCTTTCTTTTCATCGTTATATCGGACACAGTTTAAATATGCTCCTTCTTGCCTTCATTTGTGAATCATTTTTTTACTTTATTTTTTTTCAAAATGATCTCCTTTCCACTCTACTTCAAAGCCCTTAGGCTGATCACAACTCAAACCAACATATCAAATAATAATCCAAACTATGTCATATGGCTAAAATCAATAATCAGATGCAAAATAAATCAAAGTAACACCAGAATTATTTACAAAATCAGCAAAAAAACCAGGGCTTTATTGCATTAGCTCTGAAATGCCTAGCAGAATGCAATGGATTCACAGCTTTAAAAAGAACTCTGATAGGAGGAGCCATTTGGTAGGCTTCAACTGAGAAGACTTTCTCTGTGGAAGAGGCCACCATAGAAAAGGCCCTGCTTCTGTTGAACGCCAAAGTCGCTTGCGCTTGTACTAGGGTTGCCATTTTCCAGGTGGAACCTGAAGATCTCCTGGAATTATGACTGCTCTCTGGACTACAGATATCAGTTCCTCTGTAGAAAATGGCTCCTTCTGAGGGTGGACTGTACCACATTAAACCCTGCTGAGGTCCCTCCCCTTGCCAAACCCTGCTCTCCCCAGGCTCCACCCCCAAATCTCCAGAAACTTCCCAACCCAGAGCTGGAAAACCTGTTACATGGATCCAAAGAATAGCGGGTTGCAGAAAGACTGCAGTGCATGAGGATAAAGTCATCACACTTCATGTTCATGAATTTTGCAAATCAAGAAGACATGGAAATGTTAGTTTCTTTTCTTGGTTCCCTCTTCAGCTGTTCAGGGAGAGGAACAAAATGCTAAAAACCTTACTTGGAACTAGGGTTGCCAGCTTGCAAGTGTTGGCTGGAGATCTCATAAGAACATAAGAGAAGCCAAAGTTGGATCAGGCCAATGGCCCATCCAGTCCCACACTCAGTCACACAGTGGCCAAAAGTACCAGGTGCTGTCAGGAGGTCCAGCAGTGGGGCCAGGGCACTAGAAGCCCTCCCACTGTTGCCCCCTCCAAGCACCAAGAAGACAGAGCATCACTTGCCCCAGAGCCCCTATCTATATCTTGTGGTTAATAGCCACTGATGGACCTCTGCTCCATATGTTTATCCAATTCCCTCTTGAAGCCGTCCATGCTTGTAGCTGCCACCACCTCCTGTGGGAGTGAATTCCACGTGTTAATCACTCTTTGGGTGAAGAAGTACTTCCTTTTATCTGTTCTCCTGAGATTACAACTGATATCCAGGCGACAGAGATCAGTTCACCTGGAGAAAATAGCCGCTTTGGAAGATGGGCTCCATGGCATTATGCCCCACTGAAGTCCCTCCCCCCGAACCCCACCATCCTCAGGCTCCACTCCTCCAAATATCCAGATATTTCCAAACCTGGAGCTGGCAATCCTACTAGCAACCACTGAAAGTCGTGCTCAACCATGCCTTTCCTGAAACTAAATTGGAAGAGGTAGTAAATACAGTAGAAGACAGAGTCAGGATACAGGATGATCTTGACAGGCTGGAAAAGTGGGCTAAAAGACATTTAATGAATTTCATTGGGGGATAAATGTAAAGTTCTGCATTTTGGTAAGAAAAATCAAATGCATAAGTATAAGTTGGGGAAGACTTGTCTTGGCAGTTAGTGCTATTGTTGGGCAGGAATGAAC